ATAATAGCCTCATCCACATATAAAAATGGTGAAAAATAATGGAAGCATCATTAATAAAAAAAACAAGAAAAGAAAACGCTAACACTCAATACTATCAACTATGAACACGGCCACAATGTACTGACCGTGTTTGGAAAATAAAGCATTCCTATAACAGTAGATAAATATACAAAGGAATCTGTATATTCAGTTAAAAGTAAAATAAAATTCATCCTTGATAATGGCTAAAAGTATAGCCGAAAGTCCTTGGATATATAAAACATTTAGACATTTTCATATAATCTATGTCCTGAAAAGAACACGTCAAAATTTATAGTCATTTTCAGTCATTTTTAACGAAACTTAAATATATATATATATATATATATATATATATATATATATAATCAAAATATGCACTTATATTCATCTACAACCGATTTCGATGTTTGTGGACATACCACTCATCTTGATTAGTCAAAACTATTGTATTATTATCAGATGTAATATCTAAATTAGTAAGGCTAATCATAGACGTGAAATAAATGCACAATTTTTTGCTATACTAAAAACTGTCAACCACAAGACACCATTTTAATACTCTGAATTGTCACAATGTGATGATGATAAAATTAAACATTAAATTTTTGTGATATATATATATATATATATATATATATATATATATATATATATATATAACTTCCCTTGCCGTATTTAATGTGTGTCATAATAAACAAAATAAAATGAACTCAACAAATTCAGCAACGTAATTTTCAATATGATCGATTATTGACTTATCTAATTACTTATTTAAATGTTTTATTGTATTTTATTTTCTTGACAAAATTCTGCTTGCTTGGAAATAAGTTGAATTCTACAATTATACGTCTTTCAATAAATGTTATAGAATTTATGAAATTTGTATTTTCTGCGATTAATGCAATTCTTGTGGAAAGTCCCGATAAATTGTCTTTCGGTAAGTATTGAAAGTTATGATCTCTAATAATAATAATAATAATAATAATGAAATCGAAATCTCAAAAATGTGGCACATGGGAACATCAACAATTCCTGTTGTACTTGGAGCTCTAGGATTGGTTGGAAAAGATTCCAGTAGACTAATTGATGGGATTCCTGGAAGTCCATGCCTCAAAGAGATACAAAAAAAAATTGTACTCACAAATACAGTCCACACTTTACGAAGGGCTTTATCTATGTAAATTTTTTTTTTTTTTTTTTTTTTTGTCAGTGGAAAATGCATTGATGCCATTTCTAACCTTAGGTCCCTGGACAGGACCCGGAAAGAAATGTGCAAACGCCAGAAATCAAAGGAAATAATAATAATAATAATAATAATAATAAATCGAAATCTAAAAAATGTGGCACATGAGGACATCAATAATTCCGGTTGTAGTTGGAGCCCTCAGATTCATTGGGAAAGATTCTAATAGACTCATTGAAGGGATTCCTGGAAGCCCATGCCTTAAAGAAATACAAAAAATTGTACTTACAAGTACAGTCCACACCTCACGAAGGGCTTTATCTATGTAAAATATGTGTGATCTTTTTTAATTAACTGAACAGTAGAAAATGCCATGATGTCATTTCTGACCTTAGGTCAGGGTCCGGAAAGAAATGAGTATACACCAGAAATCAAAGGAAATAATAATAATAATAATAATAATAATAATAATAATAATAATAATAATAACCGCTCTAGTCTTATGTTGAGCACTTTAACCCTAGAACACTAACCCTGGGTATATAGTACCCAGCGCAAATTTTCCTATTTTTAATTACAATTTTCAGTACCTGATTTTCTTACCTAAATAATATGTTTTTTCAGTTCCTATTAATGTTAACTCAAAGTACAAAGTTTGAAGTGCCTGCATGTAAAATATTTCAAATAAAGATTTATATTTAATTTTATTTTATTTTTTTAAATTTTCAAAATCGGGTATGATATACCCAGGGTTAGTAGTGGTGTAACTTTAATTGATAGTTAACAGGGTTAAAAACAGAAATTCTGTTAAATTTTATATACGTTGGTACCACTATTTTTTCGCTAAAAAATACCATCATAAAACAACCACAAACTTGATGAAAATAAAGTTTTTTCGTCAAAATATTTATGTCATTATTAAGAGGAAAGACCAAAGTACATTTTATTTTATTAATTTTTTTTAATCCTTTCTAACACGTTCAGAATTTTGGTTAAAAATTTTATTTTTTTTGCATCAGTGATGCGATAAAGGTTACTATTGGAATTTTAGCGTTGTTTTTTTTTTGGTTTTTATTTTGTGGTAAAACACATTGTTTTGGAAATTCTTGAAAAAATCAAATAATTGTCGGATTTTAATGAAATTTTCAGCACTTATTCACAAATGAATGAAATTATTTTTGAATGTATTTTTTAGAAATTTAATTTTATGAAATGCAGACTCTACACACACACACACACACACACACACACACACACACACATATATATATATATATATATATATATATATATATA